GTAACTCGTGGCCACAAGATAGTAACTCGTGGCCTCAAGATAGTAACTCGTGGCCACAAGATAGTAACTCGTGGCCACAAGATAGTAACTCGTGGCCTCAAGATACTAACTCGTGGCCACAAGATAGTAACTCGTGCCACAAGATACTAACTCGTGGCCACAAGATAGTAACTCGTGGCCTCAAGATACTAACTCGTGGCCTCAAGATAGTAACTCGTGGCCTCAAGATACTAACTCGTCGCCTCAAGATAGTAACTCGTGGCCTCAAGATACTATCTTGTGGCCACGAGTTACTATCTTGAGGCCACGAGTTACTATCTTGTGGCCACGAGTTACTAATTCAGTAATTGAACTGTAATTAAATTTGTGCACAAGAATGTAATCTAATAAAAATCAGTTTGTTGCTTGCATTAATATTACCAACTAATTACATCCGCTATGAGTATTGAATTGTGAAACATGACCATCTGGATAACTGAGAATCGACACTACATATTGCTTAATTTGACTTCCACGTACAATATTTGTACAAGCAGTTTATTTTATGCCTTGAGTAAACAACGTGTGCAAACATTCTACTTGTGACAGAAATCGTTCTCACTAATTTTGCTCTTTACTGATAGATACTCATAATTTATGACCTGTGAATCTGCCTTTACTTTCAAACCAAAACAAATAAGAATAAAACTAAATAATTTTGCATTTACCGAGATCTGAATCTGTTATATATAACTTTAAATAATAAACGTGAGAATGATTTTCATGGATATATATATATAAATATATATATATATATGAAGAGTTCAGATGCAAAAGCCTCTAAATGCCATTTGAAATTTTCTTCTTTAATGATGATTTTTATCAAACTTGTATATTTAAGTTCAGTAATTTCACTTAAATAACAATTAATAGGTAATTATCATTGCCATTTAACTTAAATATACAAGCTTGATAAAAATGATCATTCTAGAAGAAAATTTCAAATGGCACTTAGAGGCTTTTGCATCTGAACTCTTCATATATACAGTATATGTGTGTGTGTGTGTGTGTGTGTATTTTATAGTGAGGAGGAGCTATTTGGGGTAATTTTGTGGAAAATGTGTCTTTAATTGTAACAAAAGTATAATAATTAAAAAAAAATCATAAAAATCAGCTTTATTTTCTGTGTACAAAGTACAATTTCTTTTTTTCTCTCTCTAAAGCGTGTCTGATCCTGAAGCTGTCTGACGTGGGTTATTGTGGTATTCTACAAATCTGTCAGCTCTGCTGGCGTGTTGCGACTTGTGTGTTGGCAAAGAGAAGTTACTTGTGTGTGTGTGTGTGTGCATGTGTGTGCGTGTGGTCAGAATACAAGAGAAAGGGAAAGGACTGGATGTATTTATGGTAAAACACTGTATTTAGATAAAAGGTTTACAGATTTTGATCTCTGGATTTAAGTAAGATATCTAAAATGAACATCAAATCAAATTAGTAAATCAAATGTAAGAAATGCATCTCTTTATTTAGTAAGAAATATGTTGTATGGTAAGATTGGCATTCGGATTTGTCTCCAAGGTTCGTTTACTAAAAGACTTGAGTTAGAATGGCAATCTGCTTGCAGACAAGACCAAGATCTGCTGAAAAGCACGTACTGTGGTAAGTTACTGTTGACATTTGCCACATTATATAAACTGAGGTGTTTTGTCAGACTGCTCGTCAGAAGTCGTAATTTGTACTTTGCTCTTTTTCTTCTCTGTTGAAATATTTGGAGTTTGTTACACCGTATGAATTCTGAGAAAGAAAGAAAAAACATATTCGGTAGGCTGTAATTGTACTATATTATGACATGTCATATACATTGTGGTCAGTATTTTTTGCACCCAAATCCACATTATTGCACCTGTTGTCATGACACTGGTTCTCTGGTTTCTCTGCCTGTTGACAAGACAAATATTTAAAAATCTGTGTGTTTTAGTCTGGGAAATGTCATTTTAGAGCATTGTGTCACCTATAGTATGTGTTTTAAACAGCAGATTTTGTTGGGACATTGATCATTTAGAATGTATGTGAATCAAATCAAATATAAACAAACATTTTGATAAGATCTTCAGTAGATGTTTGTACATAATAATTAATACTAGATTATTTCCAGACATCTTAACTTTATTTGTTAATAAAGTCTAAAATCTGCAAGTAATACTGTAATGATTTTAATGTAAAAGCGTAAAAAAGCTGATTGATTTAATTATCTTATTAAACATTTGCAATGATTTTGCTGCCGATAAAAATTAAGACTTGAATATGTGAAAATGATTTCATGTGAGATTATTTAAATAGTGGGGTTTAAACCTCACTTTAGCATCAATGGTGTTAAATAAGTAAATAAATAAATCCAGAATCAATTCCGATGCAGAATTTGCATCACCACTTAAAATTATTATTATTATTAGACATGAGAATGATTAATTTAGCAGACAAACAGCGTAAATCAGCTTTTTAAAAGCTTTTTATTTCCTTTATCATTCCCATTACATATTTTCAATGAACTTTCCTGTAACTGAAAAAACAGTCCACCCATTTTAGCACAAATAACACATACTAATAACTATTTATACATAAAAAAAAATCTGTTTATAGAGAATGTATTTTTTTTTTCTAAAGGGCCACCCAAACCAACACTTTATAACACTTTATTATTAATATTATTTTTTCCTGTGGCACATGTTTTTCATCTGGGCCCTCGTCTCTAAAGTGCCATGGTCAGGCTACGAGACTCACCAGGACAAATGTATGCAACCTGTTTTTCACTCTACATAAAAGAAAGAATGGGGTCATGTTTGGCCTTTATTTTCAGTGAAGTTCTCAGTTGTTCCAGGGACAGTAATCTTTAATGATAACATCTGTGTCTCAGTGCCAAACCACCATTCTGGGGTTCTCATAAATGCCTTTGTGTAGGCCGGCTTGAAAAGATAAACTCATGTTTTCCTTAGAATAATCTTGAAATCTTTCTGACTCAAATGTAAAAGATAATGTGCAATTCTGTAAAGGCTTGAAAAACCTGTGTCAGGTCTGCCCTTATACAATAGACAGTTTATTGTATTGATCATAGATAATGTTTTGCACTGCAGTTTCTTTTAAACTCTCTACATTTTTGTTTTGTTTGGGTTTAGTAAATAGGAGTTCCCTTTCAAGGGAACTCGACGCTGCGTTCTTACCACCGTGTCTCAAACGCAGCGTCCAGGGTTACATACGTAACCTGAGACGTGTTGTTGTTTGTTTGTGTTTTTTTTTTTTTTTTTGCAGCAGAAATTCACTACAAAAAATGAAAGACCCTTCTCAGAGTGGCTTTATGGAATGTACAGTTTATGAAAAAAAAAGAAGAAGACAGAGACAGAATTGCTGCAGTAAATGCTTTATTTGTAACAGGACATTTCTGCAAGATAAAAAATATGCAAAATGGCTGCCATTTACAGTATTACTGTATTTGAAAATACAAAATATACAAACAGAAAAAGCCATCTTCTAATCTGCCTCGTCTTCTGCATTTGGCCATGGCCACATGTTATCATCTACATCACAACTGATATCTTCTCTGGCAAGACATTGTGGGAAGAATCTTTTGTCATTGCCTTATCCACCCCTGTGTTCAGCTGTGATGTCTTGGCATGCAGCATCTATTGCATCCAGGAGGGAAATTTGGTCCTGTGGACAATGGTCAAAAACCTTCCATCTCCAAGCTGAGAAAACTCCTCAATGGGGTTGAGGAAATGGGAGTAAGGGGGAGGGTAAAGGGACATCATCCTCTGATGGGTTTCAAACCAGGCTGTGACTGGGAATGGTGGAATGCCACATTGTCCAATATTTGCAACTTCAATCAGCTGTTTCTCAGTAGCAATGGAATAAAATACAGGAGATATGTTTCAGTTCACAATATGAACAGCTGTTCAGTTTGACTTTAACCTATAAGTTAGGTTTAGATCATGATGTTATCTGTTCTGACATACAGTGTTAAAGCATTTGTAAATTTGGCAGTCAAAAATACAATGTTTTGGTCTTGGTTGAGCTTGTGCGTAAAAATAAAATTCAAGCATTTTAAATTATTTTAGAAATTAAAGGTGACGTGACTTGTCTTCTAGGGTATTACTAGGTGCTGATAAGGTGATTTGGTTGGTTTCTGGGGGAGGGGGGGTTGACATTCTGGCCCAAGTCACAAAAGCCCACCACCAAGTCTCTATTTTGGATTCTAGATATGGCTCAGGTACCTCTTTCACTGTAAGTTTATGGGATTTATTTTGATTCGAGTTTGATTACCTAGAAAAATAATAGCATGAATTGAGGTGCCATTCATATTTTACAAGTGATGTTATTGTACAGTGTGTGCTAAGTTTTTTACTTAAGATTGGAAATTTGAACAAACCCTCAAACTAACGAACAATTATTAGTAATACTGCTAATAACTTGAAACACCAGTAAACACCAATACTTGTCATACAGGGTGCTGAGTTACAGAGGATTTTTTTGTTTTCATGAGAATGTGTTCATATTTCTGAATGGAGAGAGGCAATATTTTACCTTAGAAACTAAAAATAGACCCTCAGCCACTGAACCTTTACCACAGATATAAATAAACCAGAAGCCCTGGCTCACTTTCTCTTCAAGTCCGTCTGAATCAGAGCAGAGAGTCCTTGAATTCAGACCTACAGACAGTCTAGCGAGGCCTGTTACTTCTCTTTTTGAGCTTGTGGGCCAGATGTCTTCATTCACTAGAATTTTTGAATGAAACGGTTTCATTCAGAACATAAACTTGTGTCTTTTGTCTTCATCACAGACATAACATATCAAATTAAACTTGTTTTAACTGAGTTTCTAGAATACCAGTGTCTATTCAGAAACAAAATATAATTGCATCTATGTTGCAATTCTCAGTATTCCTTTGATCAAATGTTTGGCATTTTCTTCTTTTTAGTTGCCAAAATGTTTTAGTCAGATAACTAATTTCCTATCACCTATGTCTGTTACAGTTTCGATGTGGAAAATGGGTTGTCGATCGGGCGCAGTCCACTGGACCCCAGTCCAAGTTCTGGTCTGGTCCTCCAAGCAAACAGCCAGAGGCGAGAATCTTTCCTTTACCGCTCGGATTCGGATTTCGACATCTCGCCCAAGACGATGTCCAGAAACTCCTCGACTACCAGCGAACTGTGAGCTTTTACCACATACTAAAGCAAAATATGTCATAGTATTCTGTCATTGAACTGGCTCAACTCAATTTCTGTTCAGAGTGATTTCTTGCTTAATTATTACTTCATCTTTTGGCATGTAGCTCCTAAGAGTAGCTCTAGAAGCAAGTGTGGGATAGATGTTGTAATAGTGTAAATATAACGACAGTGTGAAAAACCATTCACAACCAAGAAACGCTTAAAAAAAGGAAAATGTAAGATGGGATTGGGAGTGCAGAATTAAGAAATAAGCCTTTCATTAAAAATGTCAATCAATAAAGTGTGTGTGTGTATGTGTGTAGTGATAATATATATGAAACAAGGACAAAACTTGGGATTATCAGCACTTTCTAGGCAGGTGAGAGGAGCACATGTGGAGACCAGACAGATGAAGTAAACAGTGGAGCAACGGAGTAGCCGACAGACTATGGAGAACAGATGATGGAGAAATCCAGGTAAGTATATCCAACAGGTAAGATCAACACCTGTGACACAAGTGTCTGAATAGTCTTTGGTAAACATTGACAAAACCAAAAAAAGTATCCCTGCGTCCCAATTCGCATACTATCCGTCCTAAATAGTATTCGAAAATAGAATTAGTACGTCCCAAATCGTAGTATGTTGAAATGAGTGTTTCAAAGATACCCGGATGGTCTACTTTTTCCGGTCAGAATCCGAAGTGTAGATCGATTCACACTCTAACGGCTGATATTGCCCACAAACCATTGCGCGTTGGACAAGGATTCGGTTAGAACTACAAACACGAGTAAAAAAGTGTTAAAAAACTACAGCACGTAGTCGATACGGAGGACGCGCGAGTCCCCGCGGTTGTGTAGAGAGGTTTAGATAAAGAGCTACGAGTGATTAATCATCAGTATCTAAACTGACGAAAATGAATTTATTCAATGTTGTCCACATTATATTGCATTTGCAGCAGCACTGTGAACTTTTGTAAAGACACGTTTTAGCCATTACGTTTTAAATGCATCATTATATTCAAATTGCAAACACATGAGGAGAGCATGAAAGACCCACAACTGGCAGATGAACGTGCTCTCCGAAACGGTAGTGAATAAAATTAGATAGAATGGAGGATTTTAACTGTGACAAGATGATTGACAGGGCAGTTTACGGTGACAGGATGCACGGAGCACGCGACAGAGCTAAAGATGACGTGATAGTATGTCCCAAAGCTTGCCTACTCTTTTGCTACACACTCAAAAGTATGTACTTTTTCCTCACAAAAAGAGTACATACTTTTAGGGCGTAGTATAAGTAAGCGAATTGGGACGCAGCATACGTGTACATGTTAGCAGACTATAAATGCAGTCGTTGATGAGCAGGTAAATGGTGACCAGGTGCTTGCGCAATTAGAATGCAGGTGAGATTAAGCAGAGTGCACTTCTTACTGAGGATAGTGAGGGAAAGCTTGGTGTAGCCATGGCCCAAGGTGGAGTAGGGGACCAAGGCGGAGCAGGAAGCTCCGGGATCTACCAAGACGGAGGAAAAGACCTGAGGGAGGTTGGCTAAGTGGGAGACCTCAGGGATGCTGGGAACTCTGGGATGAGGAAGGCCTTAGGCAAGCTGGCCGAGAAAGGGACCATGGTGGAGTTAGCAGAGATGGATTATCTTTATGTGATGACTAGGGTAGAGCAGATGAAACCAGAGGATGGTTACCATGTCCATGACGAAGGAGAGGGACACAGTTTTTTGGATGATGAAGATGAGGGAGTGGTCGAGATGAGGGGGAAGACAATGGCCTCCGTGGCTGAGACAAGCGAGCGGAGAGTGGCAGTGACTGCGATCACTGGACTTAAGACCAACCAGAATATCTGACTTGGGACAACCTTACCACCCAACTTGGGACCACCTAGATGACCTGACTTGGAAACACTGGACTTGGAACCACTTTGACTACTGGACTCAGGGCCACTTGACCAGAGAGCTTTGGGTCTTTAGACTTGGGAGCTCTCCAGAGTGTTCAAAGACAGATTTCTTCCTCCAATGGGGTGCCCCGGACTGGAGAATGGAGGGTTAGAGGGGTCAGTGGGAGGGAAATCTTAAGTGGAATCTGGAAGTTCTAAGATGACTACAGTGGACTGAATAGGCCCTGGAGAAACTTGATTGGAGCAACTAAGGGTCCTCATCCACTTATTCCACGGTTAAAGGGGGATCCATCTGGTTAAAGGGCCAGATCCAAAAGTTGGCAGTGCATCCCTCAAGGATTATTGGCAGGCAGCAGTGATCTGTGGGGTTTGTTAATGCTGGATCTGAAGAAACGTGTGAGTATCATCCTCATAATTCCTCGAGGGTCCTGAGCAGGGCCTGAAGTTAACTTTTTCGGCCACCGGCCACTGTGGCAGGTGGATTTAAAAATTCACCTGCCACAGAGACTTTTTACCAGCCATTTTTTTTTTTTTTTGCCTCATAAACGTAAAAACCGGGAATTTCACTATATTGTTCTTTAACTTGCTTAACTTCTTTAACTTCTTTAAAGTGCTGTCAAGTAATAATAACTCTAACAACATACATTTAAAAAAAAAATCTTTTTATTCATTGATTTTGACAGACACAAACACAACAGGCTAGCTATAATATATACTCAACAGATAGACCTACCGCAGCTCGTAAACAAATCACACGCGGCTGTGTTGATGGCGGATTTATTCACGTAGACAGGTCTTACTCATAACAGCTTTTAGTTATAGCGTTCAGGAACCGTTAAATATTAACTAAATTAATACTGATATTACTGGTAAAATTACCGGGTACCGGACATTTTCTCACCGGTTCCCAACTCCTAATATGCACAGTTGCACACGCACACGTCTGTGCAACTGTCATTGTACTGTAACATACGTCAGCGTTACATTATCTCATCCCATCTCACCAACAGTTTAATAGGCTACTCGCACATCCAAACGTAGTCAGAAAAAGGGTCTCATCTTCTTTCTGATCGCATGAACGTTGCGAAACAACAGTCGCTGTCATAAATCAGCCGCTCACGAACCTTGCCATTGCCGCCGATTGTTCACTTTGTATTAAAATGTCTTCTTTACTTTTCTTTTCCTCATCCTCATCTTTTTATTGGCTGTTTGTTTCAGCTGGCCTCTTTACCCCAGTAATGTGCCGCCACATTTTAGCTAAAGTCCAACGCAATAGCGGACTTTGTTGAAATGTAAAAATCGTAATGAATCACTCACAATTCTCATTGGCTACCTGCCAATGTGGCAGGTAGATTGACAGTGTTACCCGCCAATAGCAAAATTCACCCGCATTTGGCAGGTGGTCGGGTGTTAATTTCAGGCCCTGGTCCTGAGTGAGGCTAATAAGGCGGAATCCATGAGTGATGAAAGTTCAGTGTGTTTGGTTTGGTCTTCTTTCATGGAATATTTTTTTTTAATGTGTTTTGGGATGACAATGGTGGTAAGTATATTGATGATAGATAAAACAACACCAGAACTTAACTTGAGAGTAACACTACTTTCTAGTCAGATGAGATGAGCACACAAGGAGACAAGATAGAGGGAGTAATCACAGCGGATCAAGGAAGGAGTAGACAGATAATAGAGAACGATGGAGAACAGAGGCGATGGAGAAATCCAGATAAGTATATCCAACAGGTAAGATCAACACAAGAGTGGCAGCAGTCTTTTGTAAACAGCAACGAGACCTGACAAAGTGTGTGAGTGTTTGAGAAAAGTATAAATGCTGTCCCTGATGAGCATTGATATATCATTACATACATCAAAATAATTTACATTATTTATTTATTTTTATTTTATTATTGACACTACACATAAATTAAAACCATACTAAATCATGAAATTTGTTTATTAAGAAATGACATACTGTATATTTATTTACTGACACATGTTGTGATTTATTTATTTATTGATGCTTTTAATGAAAAGGGTGTTTATTAATATGGCTCTCACAATCCTACATAAATCTATCCATCGGGAAATTATGCTATTGTTGATTGGAGGGAAATTGGTTAAAGGAGATTTTTGACATCAATGGCATTGCAATGTTGTTGAGTTGGAGCGAATTATTACATGTGCACTGGTCAATCATTTACAATAAGACCAGACAAGTGCTTTAAGAAAGTAAATTTGGTCAATATTGATTTTTTGTTAAATATTAATTAAACAAATTAATCTGATCATGACTGTTGACTTCTCTTTTGCAGTCATGGGGAGGACATGATTGTAACGCCTTTTGCGCAGGTCAGTTGGGTGCACATTTGGTAAATGTAATATATATATATATATATATATATATATATTTATTTTTTATTTTTTTATTTTACAAAGGTTCCAAATAATTGTACAAGGCACTATGTGCATTCTATCGTGCAGATGAATGTGTAACACACATGTGTCTTACAAGTAGTGTAACAGCTGTAGCTCTTCACTGTGGCTGTGTGTCAAATCTACAACATGTCAATGAATCGATAAAGTATATATATTTGTGTGTGTGTGTGTGTGTGTGTGTGTGTACTATAGGTTCTTGCCAGTCTGCGTACAGTGAGGGGTAACGTTGCAGCTTTAACCCACATGCAAGATAGAAGCAACAAGTGAGTCTGTAGTCAAAACATCTTCAGATAGTCAGGAATGATTGGAATGATTAATGAGAAAAATATTTATAACAGTTGTCACATGAGGTCTCTCTAATCTTGCTTTTTTACATATAAATATCAGAAGACCGTCAGGCACTAACCCTCAATCTGCCTCTATAACAAACCAGACTGGTGAGTGGAAGAACATGAGCTGGTCTAGCCAAAGATTAAGATTTTTTTCTTGCTGTAAACCTCAGGCAGATTTAGACGTAAAGTTTGAACATCTGAGTAGTCACCGATGTATTTGAGGCTTATTCTAACTATAAATAATAATAATAATTATAATAATAATAGACGGACTGTTTTGACATCTAAGGGTTTGTTTTTCTAGATGAATCATATCAAAAACTCGCGGTCGAGACTCTTGAAGAGCTGGACTGGTGTTTGGACCAGCTGGAGACCCTGCAAACACGTCACTCTGTCAGTGAAATGGCCTCCAATAAGGTATTTAAACCAATATTTCATCCACAAAAATAAAAATAAAATAAAAATCTATTTTTTTAAATCTTTTTTAAACCTCTAAAACATGAAAAAAGATCATAAAGCTGGCCATACAGCACAGATTTACACTATATTAGAATACTGTACTTCTGCAGCCATACAAAATATCCATTTTAAAGAATTGCGAAAAGGAAGTATTTTTACAAAATAAATATTTTTAATAGTTTTGAAATAAAGCTGAATTAAAATGATGTTGCCTTGGCAACTAACTGAAACAAAATACATTTTAATTGAAGCACTCAAATTGCTAAAACAAAAATACATAAAATTTAAGAATAAAAGAAATTTAAAATAAAAGAAACTTAGATGCAAGGCAAGCAATTTTGTCAGAGTGTCATTACATTAAATGAGACGCACTGTATATTTGACTGTACTGTCATGTACTATATCAAAAGGCTCATGCTTCAGTGCTTGAAATTAGTTTTTCTAACTAATTTCTATCCTATTAGAAATAATTTTATTAAAAACTATTTCGGTCTTTTATTGCAATGCATCATATTCACTTTATTATTATGTGTTACATAACCCCACCATAGACTGTAGAGTCTAAATGAGTGTGACTGGCCTTTTAGTATGGACTAGTTACCATAGTAACTAACATGTTGAATATTGTGCTCTACGGCTTTGATGGCTGATCATTGGCAATTTTTATAACGTCTTGGTTACGTATGTAACCCCAGAACAAGACGCTGTGTCGAACGCTGTGGGAACGCCCTTGCGTGTTTCCGTCATGAAGCACATATGGAATCAGTCCAATGGAGAGACGGAACATCATAGGTGTGTGACGTTATCGACCAGGAAACTATAAAAGCACCCCAAAACACAAGTGCAACAGCTTCGGGTATGCTGGGAGTATGGCAGAATGACACAGCGTCTCGTTTTCTATCAGGGAACTAGTGTTACATACGTAACCAAGACGTTCTCTTTCAAGGGAACGCGAGCTGCGTCAAAGGCTGTGGGAACGCTAATACCCAGGTCGCCATAGGAGCAAGTGACCGTCATGTGGAATCTGAGCACACAGAGGACAAGAGCACCTGCACCCCAGGAGTGGAGCTAAATTCCAAGTCATAAAACTTAATAAAAGTATGCTGTGAAGACCATCCAGCTGCATCACAAACGTCATTTAGAGATACTCCTGACAACAAAGCTTTAGAACCAGCCATACTCCTAGTGGAGTGGGCTCGTATGGCCAAAGGTGAAGGCTGACCAGCCTACACGTAAGCAAGTGAGATAGCCTCGACCACTCACTTGCTCATTCTCTGTTTAGACAGCGGACACCCTTTCCTGGGTGGCCCAAGACACACAAATAGCTGTTCTGATTTCCTGCACAGGGCTGCTCTGTGGACATAAGCATCTAAACGGGCAGAGCAGATTAAGTTTCTTCTGGTCTGACGACTGAAATGGAAGAGGACAGAAATCCTGCAGAACTTTAGGTCTAACAACATTAGTGGGAACCTTAGGAACATAACCTGGTCTAGGGTGTAGAAAGGCCTTACTAGGTAAAAATTTCAAACACGTGGGTGCAACCGAGAGACCTTACAAATCTCTGTTTCTTTTAATCGAGGAGATAGAAAGAAGAAAGATAGTTTTAAAAGTGACAAACTTCTCAGGAACTTCTTAGATAAGTTCGAAAGGAGCCAGGGAAAGACCTTCTAATACAATGGCCAGATCGCAGGTTGGCGCCCTCATACGAACTGCCTCCTCAAGCCTCAGCCTCAAAGTGCCACGAAGGAAACGTGTTATAATCGGGTGTCTCCCAAGAGGAACTCCACTGAAAGGGAGCAAGCAGCAGCAGCAAGTGCTGCCACATACACCTTTAGTGTGGAGGGGGATAACCCTGTGGAGAAACGTTCCTGCAGGAATTCCAGCACTGCACCCACTGGGCAGTTAACTGGGTCTTGCTGGTGCTCACCACACCAAGAAGTGAACATTTTCCGGCCAGTACGGGGCTACTAATAGTAGGCTGACCTTGTCCCGGCGAACCCTCTCGAGAACTCCTGGGAGCAGAGCAATCGGGGGAAAGGCTTTTGTGACCTCGGCCACGGCTGTACCATACCATGAACCGTGTGGGGAGCGTGTCGACTCTCCTCGAAGAGTGCCCGGCGGGAGTGGAGCGTTCTCAATGGCAAACACTCGCAGTCAGTCCCTTCCAGAGCTGACTGAGCTAACACAGTCTCATCCCAAAAAGTCATATAACTGACGTTTTGGGACGTATTTTGACCATACGTCAATATCCGCCTTTTTAGGGCCCCCTTAAACGTCGCTAGATGGCGATCCCGGGCCGTCATACAACTGACGCTTTACCTTTAACGTCAGGTAGGTGACGGGTTAGGTTTAGGGTTAGGTTTAGGTCTGGGGTAGAGTTAGGATCCCATAACCTCATCTACCGACGTTTAAGGGGGCCCTAAAAAGGCGAATATTGACGTATGGTCAAAAGACGTCCCAAAACGTCAGTTATATGACGTCTTGGGATGAGACCGGGTTGACTGAGCATGCTGCACTGCCAAACAAACAACGCAAAGAATGTGTGTATCCCCACCCGTTAAATAGCGCATACAGGGATGAACACACTTCTTAAACTATTGTTCGCTCGCCATTATACATATATAAATTGTTTGTGTGGTGTAAATTGTAAAAACTCCTGCCTAGCAAATACTAATGAAAGACACAGTGTTCACACTCAGACAGATTCACATATAGTGCTTACTGAAGGCACAGAAGCTGTTGCACTTGTGTTTTGGGGTGCTTTTATAGTTTCCTGGTCGATGACGTCATCCGCCAATGGATCCGCCTCTCCATTGAACCGATTCCATGTGTGCTTCATGACGCACATACGCAGGGGCATTCCCACAGCGTTTGACGCAGCTCGAGTTCCCTTTGAAAGACTGTGAAATATCATCTACTGTTCACAGTTACATTTATTGTATCATTTGCTGTCGGTATTGCACTGAAATGCAATAAATTAAGTTTTGTGATTAGAATATAATGTTTCACTTTTATTTGTTGTATTATTTTTAGTTTAAAAGAATGCTCAACAGGGAGCTAACTCAACTATCTGAGACCAGCCGGTCAGGAAACCAGGTGTCGGAATTCATAGCAAGCGCAATTTTACGTGAGTGACTAATTAATTTAAATGCAATTTTGAGACAGGATTTATAATAACGTGATGTGTTTACTATTAACTCTTTCCCCGCCAAACACAGAATCTTTATGACACTATATAAAACAGCCCTGAAGTAATTACTAAAATTCAAAATAAGTACCAACTCAAGAGAGTATGTGATTTCGGACGCAGCCCAAGTGTGCCGCACAAGTCCTTAAACGTGAAACCTAAAACGTTTCAATTGCCCCCCTGGCGGGGAAAGATTTAATTCGGATTTTTAAACTGTCTTCCTTGACTGTAGCTCAGGGCTTTTCACATACTTTTTGTGTTTGTGTTGCAGAAAAACAGCATGATGTGGAGATTTTGTCAGCTGCTTGTAAGGAGGAGAAAAAACGGCGTCCAATGTCTCAGATAAGTGGAGTGAGAAAACTGAGCCCCAGCCCGAGTCTCCCACCAACATGCATCCCACGATTTGGTGTCAACACACAACATGAGAGCCTCCTGGCCAAGGTATCCATTCATTTAATTTTATTTGTATTATTGTTAATATTATTATTAGTGCTATTCATTGGAGATCAAATAAATTCATATTTTTTACTCCAGGGGCTTGAGGACATTGACCAATGGGGTATAGATATGTTTAAGATAGCAGAGTATTCTGGGAATCGGCCACTGACAGTCATAATGTATACCATTTTCCAGGTAAGGTTTTTGAATGTTTTCCTGCTTTGCTGTTGTATTCCATAGCCTTGATTTAAAAAACTAAAAATACAGTAGATAAAGCCATTGTTGGCTCATAGTTTGATAATTGGTGTGAAGCATTAACTGGAAATAGCTTTCCTTTGTTTTTGTTTTTTCTATGTATATTTTACCTGCAGATTTGACCCTTTATGTACTCTGTAATTCTCAGGAGCGAGATTTACTCAAAACCTTTAAAATCCCATCGGACACCTTCTTAACTTTTTTGATGACTTTGGAAGACCACTACCATGCAGACGTGGCCTACCATAACAACATCCATGCAGCAGACGTTGTACAGTCTACACACGTTCTACTCTCCACACCTGCCCTAGAGGTCTGCATGAATTTGTACACACATACACATTCCTCATGGGAATTATTCTAAAAAACAGACATATACTGGTATTGACAACATACACCCACCTAAAGGATTATTAGGAACGCCATACTAATACTGTGTTTGACCCCGTTTCACCTTGAGAACTGCCTTAATTCTACATGGCATTGATTCAACAAGGTGCTGAAAGCATTCTTTAGAAATGTTGGCCCATATTGATAGGACAGCATCTTGCATTTGATGGAGATTTGTGGGATGCACATCCAGGACACGGAGCTCCCGTTCCACCACATCCCAAAGATGCTCTATTGGGTTGAGATCTGGTGACTGTGGGGGCCATTTTAGTACAGTGAACTCATTGTTATGTTCAAAAAACCAATTTGAAAGGATTCGAGCTCTGTGACATGGTGCCTTATCCTGATGGAAGTAGCCATCAGAGGATGGGTACATGGTGGCCATAAAGGGAATGGACATAGTCAGAAACAAAGCTCAGGTAGGCCGTGGCATTTAAACGATGCCCAATTACAACTAAGGGGCCTAAAGTGTGCCAAGAAAACATCACCCACACCATTACACCACCACCAGCAGCCTATACAGTGGTAACAAGGCATGATGGATTCTGTTTATGCCAAATTCTGACTCTACCATCTGAATGTCTCAACAGAAATCGACACTCATCAGATAAGGCAACATTTTTCCAGTATTCAACTGTCCAATTTTGGTGAGCTCTTACAAGTTGTAGCCGCTTTTTCTATTTGTAGTGGAGATGAGTGGTACCCGGTGGGTTCTTCTGCTGTTGTAGCCCATCCGCCTCAAGGTTGTGTGTGTTGTGGCTTCACAAATGCTTTGCTGCATACCTCGGTTGTAACGAGTGGTTATTTCAGTCAAAGTTGCTCTTCTATCAGCTTGAATAGGTCGGCCCATTCTCCTCTGACCTCTAGAATCAACAAGGCATTTTCCCCCACAGGACTGCCGCATACTGGATGTTTTTCCCTTTTCACACCATTCTTTGTAAACCCTAGAAAATCCCAGTAACTGAGCAGAGTGAAATACTCAGACCGGCCCGTCTGGCACCAACAACCATGCCACGCTCAAAATTGCTTAAATCACCTTTCTTTCCCATTCTGACATTTAGTTCGGAGTTCAGGAGATTGTGTTGACCAGGACAACACCCCTAAATGCATTGAAGCAACTGCCATGTGATTGGTTGATTAGATAATTGCATTAATGAGAAATTAAACAGGTGTTCCTAATAATCCTTTAGGTGAGTGTGTGTGTGTATATATATATATATATATATAACTTTTATTTTATGTTTTATTTTTACTTTCAGGATGTGTTCACCGATCTTGAGATCATGGCTGCTTTATTTGCCAGTGCTATTCATGATGTGGATCATCCAGGAGTGTCCAACCAGTTCCTCATTAACACAAGTATGACTCTGACAAACCATTAAAATGACTCCAAGATTCATTCACTTAGGCTCTCTCCCCAACACAAATACATGGAAGACTATCTAAAAACCTAACTGAACCTTGGTATGTTGTTTCTCTCTTCACTCTTTCAGACTCTGAGCTGGCCCTCATGTATAATGACGCCTCAGTGTTGGAAAATCATCACTTGGCTGTCGGCTTCAAGCTTCTACAGGAGGAAAACTGTGATATCTTTTGTAATCTCAGCAAGAAACAAAAACAGTCCCTGCGACAGTTGACTATAGATATGGTGATTCTTTGTGATTTATTTGTGAATATCGTGATTAAATGTTAGCGAAAATGCCCCGATATACTCACAGCGAAGTTCTTTTTTATTCTTCGCCATGAACCAATTGTAGTACAAAGATGTTTACCAGCCATAGGAAACTTTTCCAGAGAGTTTGCTGAGGCAAGATGTTTCGAACTCCCAGAACGGATTCCAAACGAACTTCGCTTTGGCCTAATTTTGTTCGAAATTACATTACAGCAGTTTGTTCTTCGATTTCGCTTAAAGTATATTGGGGCCTTAATACTATATAATTGTGTATAAATACAGATATATACAGACTACTAATGGTTATAGTAATGATTCAGTAATGATTTTGATTCAATTTAATGACTTTTACTACTTTTGACCAAACTCCAAATATCTGGTCCTTCATTATCATATACTATTATTGATATTTTATTTAATTATTTTATAAACAAAAATACTTATCATGAATGATACCATGATGCTATTTCGGTCACATTGTTTGAAGTACTATTATTACAAAAAAAAACTACACCGATTCGAAATGGCACTCATTTACCTTTTATGGCCCTTATGGAAAACATAACAGTGAAATATCGTAACCAGATCTGTCTGATACTAATGATGTTTCAGTGATTGAGTCAGATTTAGTAATTGTTCCAAATGATTCAGAGAGGTAATGAGTGATTTAGACCAACGAGTTTGCCAGTGACTCAAATGACTCAAATTTAAAAAAAGGAACCAGTTCAAATGAATCATTAATTTGTGAATCAGACTACTACTACTGATTGTTTGTTATTTTACAACATGTATTTCATCCAGACATATGATTAAACTGAATAACATAAAAAACTACACAATTTCCAACCCTAATGAAACATGATGAAGACAAACCTTTTTAAGATGTCACATTTCAAACAAGTTTTTTAATACTCATGGGTCTAATACCGAATTCCTGACGTCTTTTCAGGTATTAGCCACTGATATGTCCAAACACATGAATTTCCTGGCTGACCTGAAGACAATGGTGGAAACTAAAAAAGTGACCAGTCTAGGGGTCTTACTGCTGGACAACTACTCAGATCGTATACAGGTATTGCTGGTCTTACTCTACCAAATACAAAGCACAATTACAGTATTAGGGATGTGAGGTCCAGTATAATTTGGGGCCCCTGATAGCATCACTAAATTCAGCCCATTTAAAGCACCACACACACACACAAATATTCATAGAGAGTACGTCTTTTTTCGGTTGACTACTAGTCAACCATCCTCATCCACCCCTAGCAATTACTGGCTTTTAGTGCTATTTGCACAGCTAAATGGCCAGTCAGATGTAAAACTTCTTAATTGTTGCCTTCTAAAGGTGCTCCAGAACATGGTGCATTGTGCTGACCTCAGCAACCCCACAAAACCCTTGGAGCTCTATCGACTGTGGACAGATCGCATCATGGTGGAGCTCTTCAGTCAGGGTGACCACGAGCGTGACAAGGGCATAGAAATCAGCCCCATGTGTGACAAACTCACAGCTTCGGTGGAAAAAACTCAGGTATCCTGTAAAAATATGATTATGTCTCCTATTTTAGGGGGGTTCAAAACAGTAGTGGGTTCATAAAAAAGAGAGTGAAAGAGAGAGGGTTTTTTTATTTTTTATTACAATATTTATTTTTAGGGCTGTCAAAGTTCTTTTGTGCTCTTGAGATATTAATCAATTGTGTTTAGTAGGCTATAATGATTTTAACATTAACTTTATTTGATAAATGAATTCATGAGATAAATTATTAATTTTTTATCCTATTAAAGGGTCATGAATTCCTAAACGCAATTTTTTTTTCTGAGATTTTAACAGAGGTATGTGTGTTGAACACCAATGAAGACAATGTTAGCATCTGTTAGTTTTAATAGTAGGGGGGAAATGGTTAAATGTTTGTTTTTTTCCGCTATTTTTGTCTTCCGGGTTTAAAATCTTCATCGTGTCCACGTCACATGCCGTATAGACGAATCCGGCGAAACTACCGGAAGTAAGCGGGCGCCATTACTGAGCTGTTGCTGGGTAGCGTTGCGCCATTGCCTCCTATTGTTTTAGTTTCAACTTGCGTCCACTGGAATAAACAGCCCGCGATTTACGACTGTCACTAACGTTACAACGTTACCCCTTGTATAATGTCGAGTGGGTAAACAGTTTCCGTTATAAATTGTTTCAATGGTGGCAGTAAAATTTCAATTTTGAAGAGAAAACATTGTGAATACCCCGGGTCGACTGCCCCTGTCTGGTGCCGTACGGTTTACACAGATTTCCTGGGCGAGTACAAGACGCGAACATTCACGTATAATAACAATTATTTAATGACATAAGTAAAAAATATAATAAATATGTGATATAGTGATCAGCAAAATCTCCTCTCTTGCTATTTTTTCTATTGAATTAACATGCTATGGTCATTAAATGGCTTTCCTGAGCTAAATGTAAAGTTATGTGACATAATTGTTCTCCCGCTGTTATATGACTCTTTCCATGGTTTAAAAACACTAATTGGTCGATATTATGTTTAATTTCTAGCTCTAACGTTACCTTACCCTTGTCCGTTGCAATGTGAAAATGACATAAATAATGGACACAAAGGAAAAACATGAATTTGTTTATTTGATTTCATTCATTTATTTATTGTTGCCAAATGGACAGATCTTTTTTATAGTTTCCTCGTTAGCAAACGTTAGCCTAGCTAGCTTGCCAAGCTATTTTCATAAATAATCTGTAAGATCGTTTGTACCTTCATCTGTGACTGGAGGCCACTGTCTAACATCATCAACCCAACAAGTCATTCTGCCTGGCTGTAGCTGTCATCGAGGGTGCTTTCGCGTTATCACCGGCGAGGTTTGTTTACATACCGGTGCATATGTCTATGCCGGTGTAACAGCTCAGTAATGGCGTCGCCACAAGATGGCAGCCTACACAGAACGCTCGTCGGATTCGTCTATACTGTGAGTGCTTTGCTGACTCATTGGTGTCTCATAATTATTCATGAGCCTGAGTTTTCTCATCCTATGAGAAGACACTGACTCTGAATTATTCATGACACCACGTGGATCTTTCCAATGACTGACATGTCAAACTATACCGCGCAGTAGATGAGCAAAAGTTCCAGTGCATATCTTTCCCCGCGATGCTGCCAGGGCTAGACTGCAGGCTGCAGGTGGTTGGCCGGACACATCAACCACGGACACATCTAAATGATGTATGTGTGTAGCAAGAATTTTTGTAGCGAGAGAGCTTAGAGAACTGGAGAATGGTGGACTGGAATGGTGGAAGCAACTGCCATGTGATTGGTTGTTTAGATAATTGCATTAATGAGAAATTGAACAGGTGTTCCTAATAATCCTTCCAGTGAATGTATCTCTATGGACTCATCGCAGTAATATCATCACTCGTGAAAAATCCTCTCTGGAGTGATGATATTACAGCCCGTTCTTATCCTTTAACGTCATATAGAACGCAATATGCAAAAACGCCACTATACTACGCACATGGCACCCTTTATCGTTAATATAACACGTGAACCCAAGACGTCATAAATCCTTTAGCGTGAATATGACACGCAGACCCTACCCCACACCTAAACTTAGCCCTCACAGCGCGTGTTATATTAACGATAACGGGTGCCATGTGCGTAGTATAGCGGCGTTTTTGCATATATCGTTCTATATGACGTTAAAGGATGAGAATGCGTTGGATATTACGCTGCCTTCACACTGGCAGTTTAAATCAGCTCCGTAATACGCAATACGTTCCCAACGGACGTCGTACTACACAGTGAAAAGCGTCGGACGTGGGTAGAACAAAAATGGCGGAGAGATTAAAGTTTGATTCTGTCAGTTCTGTATGATCTCTCTGATTAGGGTTATGCTGCGTGAGGAAAGTTGCTCAGGACGTTGACATGTCAGGTCGGCTAAAAAATGTGATATAGTGGTCAATAGTTCAATGTCTACCTTCTAATTGCCCTTATAAACGTTAGAAAGTCATGAAAATAAAAAATGACATGACAACTTATCGTTATAAAATCATTATTTATTTTATTAAAAGTTAATAATTCAGGTTTGTTTATCAGTACCATAGCAACGCTCAACTTCCGCTGGAATTGTCGGATAGGAACCGTCCGTAGCTTTTCGCAAGAGTTCAAATTTTTGAACGCATCCGGATGACCAACGGACACGATTTTCTTCGCACCGCACTCGGTCGGACCCGTTTCGGACCCATTCGCATGCGGTCTGCGAATCTCCATAGGAAATGAATGACTTCCGGTCGTTTCACAGCCGCATCGGAGCTGATTTGTGTATCAACTCATCTTAGTTAAGGGAACAGATCATGTTTAATATGAAATCTAACATAGTTTAATATGAAAAAAACAGTGGAGTATCCCTTTAACTATGCCAGCTATAAAAATCTAGCCTTGTGTTTTACCACTGATTTTTAGTGACAGTTGATATGCATGGGCAGAGACTATTTATATAGAGACATGCCACTTCCTCAATCCTCAATACAACTATATTGGGAAAAGCAATATGCACATGCCCCGCCCCTCCCGCTGGAAAGTCAGTCGTCTGCTTTTAACAGTCAAGCCGGGAAAAATTTAAGCCTATCGTCTGGTTCCACCGACGAGGTTTTGTGTAAATATCGGACATCCCAAGTCTCCCAGAAGTTCCGGGAGTCTCCCGCAGATTGATAGCCGCTCCCTGATCCCGCAAATTAGTTCAAATCTCCTGGAATCTAGAGCGAGCGAGCAGTAGTGCGCGCACGACAGAGAGTAAGAGAACCCTTGCGCATGCACACTAAAAGTATAATCTATGGGGAAAAGTGTACGTTTTAAACCTTATTTTGGGGCTAAGTCATCAAACTTTTTCAGCGATTTTTATCATATTTTATTACTGTTTCTATACAAGCAGTTTTTATGTCCCGGTGAACAGTGAAACTGCAGTTCTGAGTCTCTGCCCATTCATCTAGATAGGAGCCTGGTCTTGTTAGTCCGAAATACTGTAGCTGCCCGGAGGCGTTGCCAAGATGGCATGACTTGCCTAAAATGACTTTGGCATGGGCCACTGGCCAATTGCAGTTATCCCGCCCTCCCCTCTCCCCTGCCGTGCCACACCCACTCCCCTCCCTTCTTCACACAGCCGTCCACGCCCATTAAAGTTGCATTTTTCAAAAAAGATTTTGAGCTAGACTTGAGCTGAAAGAGGGGGTTTTCATGAACCTTTAATATCAACATTTTTAACTGATTGTAAATAGTATATAAAGCTAATTTTTTAAGTCTTTATAAAATGACTTTTTTATGACATATTGTATGAATTCATTTTTATGCTTAAAAATGTATATATTTTAGGAACAGGGTACCTTGTAAAAATTTTCAAAATGTGGGGATTAACAAGTTAGAACAACCCGGTCCTATACTGTACTAATGATTACTGTGTTTGAATATTGTTTCTTAAGGTGGGATTCATTGATTACATTGTCCACCCTCTATGGGAGACATGGGCTGATCTGGTCCATCCAGATGCTCAGGACATTCTAGATACATTAGAGGACAATCGAGAATGGTACCAGAGCATGATCCCACGCAGCCCGTCGCCCACCCCCCAAGAGCAGGACTCACGGCCCACGGTGGGCTCAGCCGGGGAGAAGTTCCAGTTCGAGCTGACTCTGGAGGAAGAGGATGGAGAGTTAGAGGCTGAAGAGGAGCACATGGATTCAGAAAGATCAGGGACTATGACGGACACCAGGCATCCACAAATGTCCCCCCTTCGAGTCACTCCCATTTTAGACAGTAGTGAAAGAGAACTGGACCAAGAAATGACCAGCGCATCCATCCTGCAGTTGGAAACTTAACATGACCCAGTATACCAACCGTAGCACTGTTCATTTGTGTTTCTAAGTTGCACTTATTAGTTTGGGATTTCAACCATTCACTAAAAACTAAAAAAAAAGACATTAGACCCAAGGTTTATCTGACCAAAAAACCTGTATTTTAAAGCTATATGTGTCCCAGACACAAACTTTTCCAAAAGGACTGAGGCCGAAGTTGTAGATGAATGTTTTTGTGGTCTCATGTCGTATGGAGAAACATGAGTCTTCCCTTGAGTGACTGTCCATGCCAATTGCAGAGGAAAGCTGATTTACTCATTATGTGAACTTTTTCACTGGACTGTAGTATATTTAATATCCTGAACATTTTTAATAATGGATAAATTAATGTTTTTTTTTGTTTTTGCCACTGAAATGAAACGGGACAGTTGCAAGAAATATTTAAGGCAAGACATCACAGGTGAATCGAACTAATATATCACTATAATTCTCCAGTTGATTAAACACAGTACATTAAGACCACTTTTGAAACACTTTATTTTAAACTGTCTGTTACACGTTACGTACTTTCTATAATAACAGCAGCAAATTATGCAGAATTACAAGCAACAGACCTTAAACCAAATCCTTATTATTGCTCAGCATTTAAATGTATATTTACACCGTAACACGGACAATGTAACCCTTTATTTTAAAGTGTCCGTGTTACAGTGCAGTTTAAGTGCTGAGCAATAATAATGAACTATTAAAGCTGCAAGCAGTGATGAAAGGGCCCTCGCACCCCTGCCATTGCCACCCGGTGGCTTTAGGAAGACAGAGCATAGTGGGAAGTGTGCATTTAAGTAGGTAAATATAGGGGGAGTATGTCAAAGTCAGTTACAGAAATGTCCCCTGTATGGGGATAATAGCATGCGTTTTCAGTCAGATAAGTGTTGGCATATTTCAATGGCATATTTAATATGTTGGTAGTATTGCATCATACTGTTAAATATGTCACTCCCTGTTGCCAATAGGTGGCGTTATTACTTTAACTGAAAATTGTTATGTAGAGTTGTTCAGGCCAGGACTCTTATCAAACGTGTGAAGTGTGGGGCATATTGGACTTTGCCTAACAACAACTTCCTGTTTCAGTGCATTAGGATGCTTTAGCACTTAGCTAAGAATTGCTAGCATGTTTTAACCTAGCATGTTTATTACACAATGGCATATTTAATATGTTGCAGGACAGGAATCTTATCAAACGTGAAGTTTGGGGCAGATTTGACATTCCATGCCTGAGTTACAGAAAATTCCTATTTAATTTTAGTAATAGCATGCTTTAGCAAGTGTTTGCTAACATATTTTAGCATGTTTCTAGTATGTTGTTTAGCACTTGCTGCCACTTTTTTATACGTTATCAGGAGTTCACAACAGTGTTAAACATGTCACTTCCTGTTGTCAGTAGGTGGCGCTATGACTGTAACTGAATATAAGCATGGACATGTGTTCAGAACAGAACTCTTATCAAACGTGTGGAGTTTGGGGCAGATTGGACACTGTTTGCTTGAGTTACAGTAAATTCCTCTTTCACAGCGAAACTTCGAAATTTGTCAGGCCGCCGAGGACACGCCCTTCGACGAAAACTCAAGATCTTCGCAATTTAACGTCGCAAAGGCCTTAAGATTACACTCACCAAATTTGAAGATAATCAGATTAAAACTATAGGAGGAGTGAGTTGGTTAAAATATGAGGCCTGAAAATGGCAAAAACTGCACAAAAATCAGAGAGGAAGATCAAAATGGCTGACTTCCTGTGGTGTTTAGGGATACGCTCTAAGAGACTTTTTTCTAGGTATTGGGCCATTACACATATGTACCGAATGTAGCGCACTCTGTTGAACCTTTATAGGTGGCGCTATCTAGCCATTTTACCCCGCCCAATTCTGAAACGCATATCAGATGTAAATTTTCGCCAGTTCTGACGAGATTGCAACTTTTTCGAGTTTTAGTGCGTTTCTACGGAGGCGTATTGCATTCACTTGAAGAAAAAAAATCTACTCTGTTTTTCTGAATTAACAAGTTAATTTTTCATGAGAAAAAAAAATTGCTCTGTTTTTCTGAATTAATGCGTTAATTTTTCATGAGAAAAAAAGTTTTTGCTCTGTTTTTCTGAATTAACGAGTTAATTTTTCATGGAATTTTTTTTTTGCTCTGTTTTTCTGAATTAATGAGTTAATTTTTCATGAGAAAAAAAATATTTTGCTCTGTTTTTCTGAATTAATGAGTTAAATTGTCATGGATTTTTTTTTTTTTTTTGCTCTGTTTTTCTGAATTAACGAGTTAATTGTTCATGGAATTTTTTTTTTGCTCTGTTTTTCTGAATTAATGAGTTAATTTTTCATGAGAAAAAAAATATTTTACTCTGTTTTTCTGAATTAATGAGTTAATTTTTCATGGATTTTTTTTTTTTTTTGCTCTGTTTTTCTGAATTAACGAGTTAATTTTTCATGGATTTTTTTTTTGCTCTGTTTTTCTGAATTAACGAATTCAAAAAAAACGAATTCTGTTAGTTCAGAAAAAACAGAGCAAAAAAATTTTTCTCACGAAAAATTAACTCATTAATTCAGAAAAACAGAGCAAAAAAAATGTTTCTCATGAAAAATTAACTCATTAATTCAGAAAAACAGAGAAAAACTTTTTTCTCATGAAAAATTAACTCATTAACTCAGAAAAACAGAGCAAAAAAAATTCTCATGAAAAATTAACTCGTTAATTCAGAAAAACAGAGCAAAAAAAAAAAATTTCTCATGAAAAATTAACTCATTAATTCAGAAAAACAGAGTAGATTTTTTTTCTTCAAGTGAATGCAATACGCCTCCGTACGTTTCTGCCGTCAAAAATGCGATTCATTTCGGAGAAGAATAATAAAGCGAGCAATTGCAAAGGGGCCCTAACAAGAATTTACCATAGGGTCAGGGTTGTTAGAATTTGGGTTAGTTGGAATTAGGTAAGTAATGATGCACAATTTATAGTAATTACTATAGTAACTACATGTGACGTGTAACAAGGACACGAATATAAAGTGTTACTAAATAAAGATAAGCTCATTTTTTTTTTTTACAAATTTTCTGAAATGTTGTTTCAATATTCAAATTAGGCATTATCAAATTTAATATACACTAATTTGCCTTCATTTTCAGAACAGAAATCTGTACATTGGTTCAAAATATTTTATTTTGTTAAAATATTAGAGATAAAGGTTTTTACAGAGGGAGTTTTGGATATCTTTTTATCAATCCAAAGAATGTTGTCAGTAGCCAGGAAAAAAAAAAAAAAAGCTGTATTAATCAGGCGAATGGAAGGAAGTTTTGCTTGTGGTGTCTTGCCTTAACAGGTCAGTGATAAGATTGTGATTGCTAACAACCTCAGGATAATATTGATTTCATTTAAATGTAGCAAGACCCCAATGTGCAGTCACTAAACAATCTGTTTATAATCTTGTTTTGAACAAATAAGAAGAAAAGAAACATTTAAACTAAAAGCCAAATGTATGGGCTCAAGGCCACCATATGGAGAATCCCTTTACATGTGTCTTTGTACTGAAATACCTTTATACCTCTTAAACATTAGCACTATGTAGACATAATGATTATATAAATAGAAACAGGGTTGATGTTTTATCTGATTTATGAATGAATTCGAATGATGACAGATCTTCTCATGTTTGCAAATCTAAACTCACCTAAACTTGACCCTCACGAGTGAATCTGGCCTGTGCCCATGTTAGACATTGTCAAATTGAAAATGACCTCTAGCTGCAGTGAACGCTGAAGTGGATCTGATATTTTTTTTGTGGTTGCATGGTTACAGGTGGATTTAAACAGTAAGTTCTGATCCCAGACCAGCGCACACAACCCTTACTCTTAGCCAAACGCATGTCCACCTCACATAAAAAGGCAGGCTTTGACAAAATGATCCTTAAGATCCTGCTCTCACTCTTTTCCAGAGCTTTTTGCCTCAAAATATCAGGTTATATACAATCAGAAACATGCTATGAAATTACAGAGGAATTTTGAAGGTGAAGTGTGCAATTCAAATATAGTTTCCTCGTTTTCCAGTACAGGCAACTAAAAGTAAGTCATTTGCATGTTGATATCCCTGAAAAGGGATAACCAAACTAGGATCAGAGAAAATTGAGTCAAATTGAGTGAAATCAATAAATAAAAACATTGAATACATTAAAGGAGTAGTTCACTTAAAAAAAAAAAAAAATGCTGATAATTTACTCACCCCCATATCATCCAAGATGTCCATTTCATTCTTTCTTCAGTCAAAAAGAATTTAAGGTTTTTGATTAAAACATTCTAGCGTTTTTCTCCATATAATGGACTTCAATGGGAACCGAACGGTTCAAGGTCCAAATGAGAGTTTCAGTGCTAACTGCAAACTGTTCAAAGGGCTTTAAACAATTCCAGACCACAAATAAGGGTCTTATCAAGCGAAAAGATCGGTCATTAAAAAAATTATAATAATTTAAAAAATGTAATGGTCGCCTTGCTCTGTTCTGTGATGTGTGTTTGTGTCTCTCCTGTTCGAACTCGTTCATAAAAATGAACAAATCTTTTTAACTTGTTCATTTAGTTCATTGAATGAACCAAATGACACGAAAAAAGATTTGTTGATTTTGATAAACGAGTTCGAACAGGAGAGTCATGAACGCGCATCACAGAACAGAGCAAGACGACCATTTGAGCTTATAAAACTAAAACTTTTTTTTTAAATGAGCGATCGTTTTGCTTGATAAGACCCTTATTCATCATCTGGAATCGTTTAAAGCCCTTTGAACAGTTTGCACTGAACGTGTCTTTTGGACCTTGAACTGTTTGGTTCCCATTGAAGACCATTCTATGGAGAAAAATCCTGGAATTTTTTCATCAAAATCCTTCATTTCTTTTCGACTGAAGAAAGAATGACATGGATATCTTGGATGACATGGGGGTGAGTAAATTATCAGCAATTTTTTTTTTTTTTTAAGTGAACTACTCCTTTAACATGTAACAAATCTAACATGCTTCATTCTAAATACCGCTCAGAAATTACAAGACTATCGTTTGAGAAGCAAAACAATTTTATTATAATCTATAGTCTATCTTTAATCTATAGATTATAATTGAACATTTTCCAGATAATATTTTATTTATTGGGGTATAACTCTCTCTTCTTCTAAACAATCAGAGATGGGGGTCTGCTTAGGAAACCTGTTGTAAAATGATTTTTTTATTATTATTTATAGTAGCCCAGGAATTACACATTTCACCTTTAGTTTGTTAAGAATATGAAACCATGATACATGAGGATTTAGTGCAATTAAAAAAAGTAGTCAGCAATGCTGGTAGAAGCTGTTGCCAGACTGATACTAAATGCTAAAAGTGCCACCAAGAAGCCTTGGACACACTCATTCTCAGAGATCAGAAAAAGCCAGTATATAAATGCAAACATACAGCCTTAAAGCACATCCCTTTAGCTTCAGTGCCATTACAACAGTGACTGTGAAACATTTATAGTGTCGAAAATTAATTTTGTTGTATGATATTAACTAAACTGTGTCCTCTTCTCTGTAAAAAATGTGGTATGTTTATATGTGTCCTCTGTTTGTTAGTATTACTGACATTGTAAAAAAAAAACATATTTGTTCAGTTTGTTTACAGGTCACATATGCTTCAGATAAAGGTGATCACAGTGTGTGCACTGTCAGAGCCAAAAAATACTTCATTTTTAATTAAGATTGTTCTGAATTGCCAATAAAAAAAAAACAAATACAACATTCTGTTGTGTGGTTCTGTGTGCAATACATTATAAATAAAATGCCAAGAACATGTAAAGCCCAGAGCAGGTACAATTCGACTAGCTTCGACTATATCGACTACATAATATAATATAATATAATATAATGCATGTGTCCTTGATATGACTCACTAGTATTTTTGCTCTGTTTTGTGGAAAATTAAGAATGCAGAAAACATTTTACATTTTAAAATATTAATAAAACGTATATATGTATACTTCATATAAACGTCAACATTATACTCGAACTGGTATGACACAAATCTCATTAATGCTCCATAATGACTTCTCATAATTGTAGTACACATGAATTTGAACACTGGGTGGCGCTAAAATAACGCTAAATGATTTAATAAATACAACACTACTAGGCATATTATTATCATAGTTATGTTATGTTATTATTATAATATAATAGGCCCTACATATATTATCATGAGGAAATAATATTATTATAATGCTTTTTTCAAGAAATGATTGCGTTGAAAATCACCATGCTAACCACTGTTATGGTCAAAATAGAATAGTTACCACAGTTATTGTTACTACAACATGAGAGTCAAACATTGGTTACATATTAGTGTGCTGAAAAGGACACTGACCTGCACTGCTAATGTAAACAATCCCTGTGTCAGCTGCTCGTTTTCTACGACCATTTTAATTGATTAATTATGGAAAGGCCAAAGCCAGCTTCCTAAATAATGAATGATGCAGGTTTTAAAGAGTCTTGAATATTTTACGTCCTGTGGGTGGGATTGCATTGTTATTATTAGCTCTCGGGGACGTCAATCAAAAGCTCTGACCCCGCCCCCTCCTGGCGTCACACGTCTTTCAAGTGACGTCAAATTGTCTGCAGGTGTTGGAAAAGGCGCAGTATTGGCGTAAGTGACGCTTAAAACGGCTTTTACGGTAAGAGGACGCAGTAATGTGCGTTTTAAATATTTTACGCTAAATATACCGTAATATTTGTTTATGTGTGTGTTTGTCACTGGGAAAATGCGGAAAATGTGCTGGTTGCAAGGAGAATAACCTTCATTTGACATGAACATCGCGCATCCTATGCTTCTATTTATACTCCCCATGAAAGACCGATCTGCCACATAGCCTTTGAAGCGTTGGCATTACATGCCACGGATTCGAATGATTGCTCGCCTTTTCGTTTTGTATCTAAACGACAATAATGAATCCATGATCGTTGTGTTCTTTAGCATCCTCCCAGAAGATGGTGAATCAGGTGAACATATCCTCCGCAGCAGCAGTGTTGCATGTTCATGTGCTGTTTCCTATTATGTAAGGATGCTCAGATTTTTTTTAGTTAGTAATTAATTTCCTTTTATAAAAGGCTATACTACTGTTTTATGTAATATTCTAGTATAACATTGGACTATTGATAAAATTCTGGCTTGTCTCATAGAACCATTCAAGAAAATGCACATGTGTTTTGTGGCTCTATAGAATATTTACCGCCATAATTCAGCATAACCAAGTTATTAGTGGTTCTGTCCTTGTTTTGGACATATCTCACATTTGGCAGTCAATAGGTTGCTTTGTTTAGCCCTTTTATTTGCTAAAATAATAATAATAATAATAATAATAAGGTTTTAAACCAGCTGGAACTAGCTGATGGTCTCCCAATCTGGTCTTTTGGCTGGTTCAGAGGTGTTTTTCAGCGCTTTCCCGCTGGTCAACACCAAACCATTTTAGGCTGGTTTAAGATCTTCCTGTTCTTCAGCAGTGTTGACTACTATTTTAAAGGATGATTTTGAAGCAGATCAGTTTGATGGTTCTTGGACAGAACTGCTCTAACCACACATTGTCCACTAGTGCTGTCAGTCTCAATTTCTTTTGCATTATTGAGGATTTGAGTCTAAAGGAAGAGAAAAGCATTTCCTGTAGTGTAATTTGGCGTTGAAAACAATTTTCTTCCCAACAATATATGGTTGTTGAGCTGGCCGTCTGGCATTTGCTTTTGTTGGGCTGAAAGAGCAACTGAGATCTAAAAGTTAGCCTCTATTTTTAGCTTGTTCAAGCCCTCTGTTATCAGGAGAGATGCTGATAGGATGCTTTGGTGTTCTGCGAATTTTCCCGACACACCAGACGTGGAGTGCTGAATCATAGATCAGCTTCCTGGTTTTCTGGAGGAGAAGCCTTGTTGTTGAGTTAGTGCTGTGTCTGGTGGAAAATTATTTTGATTGAGATGAACATACATACAGTATATCTTGGTTAAACTTGTATATTAAAGTAATTAAACTTGTATTAGAGTTTTTTTATGGTGTTTTTGACAGGTCAGAAATAGAATAGGAACATTGTTTTCTCTTTAACCACCCTTGAGTTCTCTATCTATAAAGATCATGTTGCCCTGAAGAGGAATACGATGCCAATCTCCAATCCCAATGAGCTTTTTGCCACAGTATTTCAAATGTCTCTGTTCAGAGTGAATTACTGGTTACTGAGTACTGCACAGAATATGTATATAAATAAAATAAAATAAAATAAAATATATAAATAAAATATACACTTATGTGGCATTTAGTAGCATCCAGTAATGCCTTTTAAAAAAATGTTGTGAAAAAGTAAATAACAATTTACTCATCCTCATGTTGTTCCAAGCCTGGTACATTTTTCCATTGAGCCTCTCCTGTTTCATTGTAATTGCATAGAAATGAGCAACCTGAAGTCTTTAAAACTTTTCCTTTTGTGTTTCACAGATGATGACATGAAAGTGAGTAAAAAAAAAAAAAACAACCTCTATTTTTGGGTAAACAACTTTTCCCCAAAAGTGGCTTGTTGAAATAATATCTGAGGACTTGTTGAATTCTGTTTCACTATAGGAAAAGATATAAGGTCAAGGGCTTTGCATTGTGGGATACAGTAATGGACATAGGCTGTGTTCGAAATCATCCCCTTTACCATCATTCACTATACCCTACATTAGTCCACTAAAATAGTTCACTTAAAGGAGTAAATGAAAACAAGTGAGTGAATTCTGGAAGGGCTGCCGTTTTTACATAGTTTTTGCTTGCTAATAATCATTTGAAATTTTGCAAACTGGCAGCTCCAGCAGTAATGATTTATCTTGAACTTGTGGGTTGTCGCGTTGGTCTTGAAGAAACCAAAACATCGCTGTGACAGTTTTTTTTTCTTTTTTTGTCGATCGGCTTTCCTACACCTCTGAATGAGGAAGACGCCGCGGCCTGGTTAAACACTCGTGCTCCAAGGCGCTATTGGCTAAGCACATTCACATGACTGAGGTTACATGAGGTTGCAGGGCATGTACTCCATGCAGATACATCAAAGGGGATGGCAGAACCAATACACAAACATTTAATATGTTTTGACAGATTTTAAACTGGGTTGCACCCTCCCCCCTTAAACCCAAACCACGTGTATAACTGAACTGATGGTAGACGCATGATTTAAAGCATCCGATATACTGTGTAAAAGAGTTTGAACCACAGATATCAGGGAATTGCCAAGTGTACTGTACTGCAACCTTTTAGGCGGTAATCGTTGACGCACAGAACGTCTTGGACCGGGTTCTGGTTCTACCGAATCAAGGGTTAAATCAAGGTTTAAGGGCTCAGAGACACTAGAACAGGGGTGTCCAACCCTGCTCCTGCCAATCGACTGTCCTGCACAGTTCATCTCCAACTCTAATCAAACACACCTGCCTTTAATTTTCAATTGTTCCTGAAAACCTTAATTGGTTGCTTTAGGTGTGTTTGATTATGGTTGGAGATAAACTGTGCAGGACAGTCGATTTGGCAGGAGCAGGGTTGGGAACACCTGCATTAGAGACTGACGTCTCAGGATCGACAGACTCTTTAGCGTCTTCAGTGAGTGGAATTGTGACATTCGGGACTGACAAAATAGACCCTTTTTCAGTTGGTAAACATGGTGATGTTTTTTTTTGTGGGCGGAGCTTAGGTGGAGGCAGAACGATCCCTCTGGCCGCTTAACTAACGCTAGTTAGCAAGGATTGTTAGCTTGTTTTTTTAACAATGACTGGAGAAAATCCGATTATCTTAACGTGTGAGGTCACTCAGTGTCCAGGGCCGCGGTTGTTATTTCCAAAAGTTATCTTTAACAGACGAAACCAGATTGGCCGACCTGTAGCCGCCTACACACTCACTCAATGCATGGGACAATCTGACTGGATTATCGTAAGTTACATTACCTCGGTTGAGTGGCCTGACTTCTACACCTACCTGATAGAGAAACCGATCATAAAGAGAAACTGAGGGCATATAAATCTTTAGATGCCTGTATGGTCCTGTACAAGACTTGTGTGTATGATCTGCAGTTCTGCCGAGCCAGCGCCGAGACGACCACAATGTAAAGAGTGACATTACAGTGTGATTTTAATGATGTGAATATTTTCTAGAAAATAAAGTTCCAGATCCAGCATATTCATTTTTCATCAATTCTTGCACCAAACAACACAACAAGATGACATTTAATAATAGTAACAGTAATTTAAGCTCCTTATTATGTAGCCGAATCTATGCTGTTTTTGTATTGGCCGCGTCCAGTTTTCACTTTGTTTTGCCTCCAGCTAACGCCGTGACGTAACTGTGACGTCAGCGCAAAAGGGGTCTATTAGGTGAGTAGTAAGATAAGTTTATTTCCACAGGTAGCTCGATAGACTCTTCTTCCTCGAGTTTACACTCAGGTAGATGTTCAGGTAAGTCAGTTTCGATAGGTGCTACAGATTCTTCAGCTTCAGGTAAGTGGTCAGAGGTTACAGGTAACGTCTCTTCAAGTAAGTGCTCACTCTCTGACCCTGTATCAACAACGGCTTGTTCACTCACAGATGTCATGGATGGAGAACAATAGTCATTGGCAAGACTTGGGGGTGAAGCTCTTTTGTAAAACTTCTCCATAGTGAACTTCATTGGATTTGGGTCCAGACCAAGAACTGTTGGTTCAGGTGAAGTCCTCAGAGTCAGGAGGAATCTCACACTGCTGCCGTGTTGTTGGCCTTGAGACTGGACTGGCCTCAATGTACGTCTCTTCAACAGCAGGGAGAAAACCACACGGTAATAAAAGATCTCTATGAAGAGTACGTTTAGGACCATCACAACACTCTGGCTTCACTGTATAGACTGGGAGGTCTCCAGCTTGATCCACTACAACGTAGATGCCCTGCTCCCACTTATCAGATTTTGGACAAACTGTGAATGAGGTTGGTGTTTTTTTCCCACTCAGTGGTAAACCAAAAGCCAGGTTGACCGGAAGAAGAGGAGAACGTCCAATCATCAATTCGTATGGTGAATATCCTCTAGTCTTATTCCTTGTACAATTGTAAGCATGTACCAAGGGTTTGACGAAGTCTTCCCATTTCGTTTTCTGGTTTGCATCCCCAACATGATGAGCAGAGTGCGGTTGAATTTTTCTACCGGATTTCCTCACGGATGGTATGGTGTAGTCTGACACTTCTTAATTCCAGCCACTTCACATAATTCCTTGATCAGTTTGGACTCAAAGTCCCGCCCTTGGTCTTTATGTAGTGGTTCTGGTATCCCATAACAGACTATAAAGTTGTCCCACAAACATTTGGCCACTGTCCTGCCCTCCTGATTTGGAGTTGGAAAAGCTAAGGCGAATTTGGTGAAGTGGTCTGTTAACACAAGAAAATCCATGCAGATGAGTTCAAGTGGTCTGGAATTGTGAATACTGATGAGAGGAGCGGCTCTCTCAGGAAGAGCTTTGCGACATACACAACGTCCACAAGTCTTTATCTTGTGCTCTACGTCAGCAGACAAAACCTGGGGCCAATAGAAGCGAGTGCGAGCAAGATCTAACGTGCGCTCTACCCCCATATGACCCATATCATCATGGAGACTCTGCAACAGGGGAACAAAGTTGTTCAGGCATAATGAGTTGATATGAAGTCTGTTCATTGTCCT